ATTAGAGGACAGATAATCTTTCACCGGGACAAGCGGAATTCAGCAAGCCAAACGGATCTCAAAGGGCGGTCGATGTAGTCCTCTTGCTTTTACCATTCATGTACGACCCCATCGTTCAAGTCCCATCGTCCACCCTCATATTTGCTGATAACATCAAAATATGGAGGGCTTCAAGTGAGAGAAAGGACCTCAGGAAATTTCAGGATGATGTCGAGAGGTTCCAGGTAGTGCATTTTCAAACACCGGGGGCAATGAAACCTGCGTACAACTTCAGTAAGTGTGCAGTCACGAAGGTGCCCACAGAAAGTGACCTAAGAGTATGTGATCGATACGGGCACCAAATAAGAAAGAATGGTAGCAAAATTAAACACTGTCATTCACTTTCTAAGGAGGCAACCAAGGGCTGCTACAGACTAGCTAGTTCTCATGGGTTTTAGAATCTGCGTGAGACTGGTGCCAGAGCTGTCTGTGGCAGCTACCCACCTTACTGAAAAGAGGATCGAGGACTTGACGAAGTGCAAAGTAGATCAGCGAAGTCATCTGTTAGATCACTAGGTGAAATGTAGGTACTCCTCCTCAGGCAACTCTACCTGTTCATATATCGCTGACAGAGTGAAAGAAGCGATCCGCAACCCGCAAGACTATACACCGAGTGAACCTCCGTAACGGGTCAACGATAAAAGACAGTTTCAAAGAAACGCCATCACACCACAGGGCTAAGATGAGATTCAGACTTGACTTCGTGTACAAGGCCTTTGCGTTATGGAATGCCCTACCTTAAGGTATAGCCAAAGCTTACTTAGTTGACTGTCGCAAACGAGTGCTGAACAATTATATGAACAAATGCGGTCTACTATTAACTGACCCGGATAGCAACTTAACGTACGCTTATGGATCCCCCTGTCTCTCCATCCTGGTATCCACATTGCAGAACGCTATCTCTTAACAAAACCACAAGTAACAATGTTGTTCTGCATTTGTAACTTAACCCCTTCAGCTGATTATCATAACTGCTCAAGTTTTCATACCATTTTCGTAATAACGCGTTCAAACTTACAAGTACTTCTGAAGACAGGAATTGCAAAACTTCGCCATTCTTAACGGGAGTTTTGTGGCTCCCCCAAACAACCCAGTCCACAAGCCCTAAAAGAAAAACTTAAACCACACACTAACAGCTTTCAAAACTATAAGCAGACCACACCTAGAGGTTTTCAACACGGTAGCCGCCCACTCCCCAGTACTAAAGAGACATGCAGATACTCTCGAGAGGGCACAGAGAAGAGCGGCAAAGTCGGCTGTCGAACTAACAGGTGAAACACATGCGGAACTCACCAGACAACTCGCTCAGTTTGTCCCGCTAAGCTATCGAGGTAAACGAGGTGACCTGATAACAGCCTACAAATCATCCACCAAGTGGACCTCCCGAGTAAGACAACGTTGTCGCCTCAGAACCGACAAGCCCGTGGGAACCTCACTCGCCTACCCCAACATAAAGCAAAGACGAGAGCGAGATCTTGCTTCTCCCATAGAGTGTGTGCCTTATGGAACACTCTGCCGAAGGGAGTGGCCACTGCCACATCAGCCAACTATTTCAAACGACTACTGGATGAGTGTGTGAGCGCAAATGGTTTACCATGGACATTTGTCAGTAGCAACTAATGATACTGTTTTTATCCCTGTGTTCCCTAACCCTAGTATCTGGAACAAGAAGCATCTCTCTTCCATATTATCACCGGTTACACTTATCTTTTCATAAGTACTTTCCACTCCTCTTTTTCTCATTCCCCACTCACCCTGTTTCTATCACTTTTTAAGTAACGCTTAACACCTACCTGCAGGTGCCTACAGCAACAGGAATTGCAAACGGTTGATTAATCTTATCAGCAGCTCCGTTGCCCCCCCCCCAAAAAAAAACAAACCAAGCTACAATTTGCAAATAAAATACCTTCTAGTAGACAGTCACTACCTCCAAAGCCATAAGCAGGAAGATGCAAAGACATTTACGGCCATCGAAGAATTAAAACCGAACAAAAAGAACCCAACCTCAAGAACTAGAAGCGAAAGCTCAAAAACTACAAGTTTCCCCTACTTTCACTGTGTAAGTTGTTGTTGTGCGCTCCTTGAGTAGTGACGTGTTTCGCTCGTCTCTCAGCTTTTGGATTTTTCCACAATGAAAAACTCCCACTTGCAATACTCAATCTAAAAACATCGAACGTTTGCAGCACTTCTGTCCATCCACGCACCTCACCCCTGCGCATTCGTCAGCTCACTCCTCAACAGTTGAAAATTGGCATTATTATTCCTTTGAACCAACCGGTCTACCTCCTGTCAGTGGTTCTTGGGCGTTTCAGCTGCCAAACTGCCTTAGCTCTCGGTTCTCCTCGGAGGTCATTCCCCAGGAAATATCTTTCCTGGTTATACATACGCATCTGGAGCTTACGGTTAAACTCGTTGGTCAAGAGCAGAGGATCAAGTGACAAGTGTCTGAAGGTGAGCCAACATAAATTATCTTCCCTTTTCTATTCTGTCCTTTTGCTGCATTCAGTCTTCAACCCTCTTATTGTTGTTAACTACTTGTTTTCCCAAGAAGTTTATATCATAGCGACATGTCTGCCCAAAACGCTAGGTCTGAAGCTTTGACACGGATAACGCGGTCGTGCACAACAACGGCCAGTAACACCCTAAACAACACACTAGTCTGTACTAGAAGACAAACAGAGGTAGGGCAGAACACCGAACTTCTGAAGAAGTGGCCAACCCATGTTTCTAGAATTCCAGTCGCCATCAGACAGGTGACACAGAGAAGCACTAGCCCGTCACAAACTAGTCCTATCTTGAGCAAGGATCATACCATGCCTGAAATAGAAGACGACGTAAAAGGCTTCAGAACAAGGCAGCCACAAGCAGTTCGCCACAATCCGTAGCACCTTATTCATGGAAGGAAGGCTGTATTACGACACCCGATGGCTGCAGTGTTTGCACCAAAGTTGTTTCGGTAGTCGATGAGGCATTTGCATGCAACCTGTGTCAACGATGGGCGCATTGCCACTGCGATACCAAAGTCCCCCGACAATACTATAAGCTGATGAAGAGACAACCATGCAAGTGGTTCTGGTACATCTGTCCAGAGTGCAGGAAAATGCCCGCACTCCGCACAGAAAGCCTGAAGGAGATGCTCTCCGCCACGCAAAAGCTACCAGCATCCTCGAATAAAGTAGGGTTAACACCAAAGGATAACACAGAGAGACCTGGAAACAGACCTAGAGCTCCAGCTGTGGGCACGCCATCTCGCGTGGGGACCATATTAGGTCAAGTCTCCATACCCCCACCCGGCCCCAGGGGACGTCAAGCGCATGGCCAAAGACATCGACCGCCGAAGCCTCTACGAAACCCATTCCGAACACCCCACACACCGTGACTGAGAAACAACCAGTGGAATTACTCAAACCCATTGGGAAGTCGGGCGTGCCACCCACAACGAACCCAGGTCACAGGAGGACCAACTCGATCATTTTGTTCAACGTCGATGTATCGACAGACTCATTGTTGGTCGAGAGGGAACAATTTGACAGCCGAATGTGGACCGACTACTGTCAGATGCTGGGACTCCCTCCCCTCCCTGCAACTTTATGTCGCCTTTCTCGAGGAAGCCATGCACCCCGAGATAAGCCACCCCCTTTACGTGTGTCCCTAAATACCGCCAAAGAGGCTGAAGACACACTCCTCCTCTCGCGACAACCGGACGTTGTTAATGCCTGTAAAATTCGGGCCAGGCCTGACAAGCCATGGTCAATAAGAGAGGAGGAGAGAAAGTCAGCGGTTGGAAATCCCAACAGAAACAACACTATAGTTGTACATGGGATTCCAGAATTGCCAAGTGACAGCTCGGTCAAAGATCGGTACTTTCACGACGTCCAACAATGGCAATGGCTCTCAACCAAAGTTGGTCTCAACAGTATACCGGCCAACAGCGTCAGTAGACTGCCAAGGCCAGCGCACCTGAAGACCATACCCAATCCCAGACTACTTGCCGTCCAGTTCGACTCATATGCCTCCCTCACAGACGTTCTGCACGCATGGTATAATGCGAAAGATCGCATGGGTGGCTCAATACGTATATGTGAAAGTAAGCCTAGACCCACAAGGCAAGAGGAGAGACGGCAACCACCAAGACCTCTGGAGTCAGTGGTCGTCACACAGGCGCTGACCAGTGAGTTAGATACATCAAGTAAAGAAGCCACCACTGCTACAGCCCCCACCCAAGTTAAGAACAAAACACAAAAAACGGAACAATGCCAGTCCTATGAGGACTGGCGAGGCTAAATTCAACCACGTAAGCGCTCATCCCGCGAAAATACACATCCAGACCTCCCCTCTCATCAGGCACACTCTAATATGTATGTACAGCAACGTTAGGGGGCTAAGGGAAGGTAGCAAAAATGAGGACGCTGCGTGAACATCAGCACTACGACATCATATTCATCACCGAATCCTGGCTCTCATCGGACATCTCCGACGAAGAGATGCGTGTTGCTGGCATGGAACTCTTCCGCAGGGACAGGGAACATAGAGCAGGAGGGGGAGTGGCTATCTACGTAAACTCCTGTTTAAAGGCAAGGATGGTTAGCGATACGGCCTTAACCCAGCTCCCAGAGTCTCTATGGTGCTACTTCACTCTCTTCTTTATTCTCTCTTCATTCCTTTACCACTACCTTACTATTCTCTTTCAGGTACCTACACAGACAGGAGTCATGGCAGTTCTCTAAACTTCCCAGCAACCCGTAGCTCCCTAATCACTCTACAAATTACAACCTACTAACCCACAAAACATCCACCTCACCGAAGCTAAAAGCAAGAAAGCAGAGGGGATTTCCTCGTCCACTGCAGGAGTAAACCGAACAACTGGAACCAAGCCCTAAGAACTAGACGCGAGAGATCAAAAACTACCAGTTTTCTACGCTCGCACTATCAATATTGGATATTGGATGTTGGATCGAGCTAAAGGAACCGAATCTCAACATCTAAACATAAGAGTTCAAAAGTATAAGTTTTCGTAACTTTCACAGTTGGTGTTCGATGTTAAAACCTGGGGAATTTAAGAATTGGTACAATTTCTATGCATTGGACTTCGGTTTTTATTATGCTGCTATGAATGCAGTTACTGAATGCGGCGGCCTGTTAATTTTATTGTGCATTTGTTCGCGAGTTAAGGTTACTGCAGAGTTGTAATGGGAAGTAAGACAGTGATGCAATCAAGACAGTCAGTGTGGACATTTTAATCAATTTATCAGTTACTGTCTTCGTTTACTGTGAGTATTTTCAAAATTTACTGGCATTATGATATCCGTGAAACGTTTGCTAAGGCGTCGAATGATTCTTTTGGGCTTCTATTTTCTGTTTGGCTTTACAAAATTTGCTTCACATTATTTCCTTGCACATGAATCCAGCTTTATTCATTCTAGTAAACATACTGCATTCAACAACAAAGCGTCCGATCCATCTGTTGATCAAATTAGCTTTGTGGACAGGAAGTTAATGGAATTCGAGTTATTCGTCCACATCCTTCGTTGAATTGTACACCTCTTGCCATCGAAAACTTTCCGAGAGACATTTTTACACAATCTCAACGGCAATATGGGGCTGTTATAATTCACCTTATTGTTTCAATATATATGTTTGTTGGTCTAGCAATACTGTGTGATGAATACTTCATACCTTGTCTGGAAAGGATTTGTGAAGGTTTGATAAGTTGTTTCGATTAACTTTACCTTATAGTTCTACATCTCCAACCTGATGTTGCTGGGGCGACATTTATGGCTGCTGGTAGTTCTGCTCCTGAATTGGCAACTACACTGGTGGGAGTATTTATTGCAAAGGTGAGGGTAGTATTCTATTATTTCGTGGGTATTTTAAAGTATCAAAGTAATGTCTTGGCTTACCCTTATCTATTCAGATGGCTTAGTATCTGTGATTGTATGTATAAATGAAACTAGACAAGGTTTATGAGCGTGATACATGTATAGCTTTTAGCAGGAATTTTGCTTTATTTTTTAGGCACTTGCGACTGTAAGATGGTGGGTAGTTCTAGTTTATGGTTAGACTTTGACCACCAAATGCCAACATCTTTTATCATGCGACGGGATTTCTGCTTTACTGTTAGACATAGCTGCGAATGTGCCTCATATATCATGGTACTCTCTTGGATGAAAACGAATACTGACTATCCTCTAACAGACTACTTAATGAACGTAACTTACTTGAGTCTCTGATTGTGTTTATAGGCATTTTGTGCTTCAGAGAATCTCATGAATCCGTTAATTGACACGCTATACTTAACTGCAGTACAGTATGTAACACTATTCAAAGGTCAGAAAGCAGTAGTTTTCTTAATAACTCTCTGATATGAAAAAATGTACCATTGGTATAAGTGTATTCATCATCTTAAGAATTCTGAAGTGTTATTGGGTTTCTTTTTCAGATTCTTATTTCTAATATCATCCTGTTTTTACGTATCTTTTCGTGCTATTACGAATTCAACCACTGCGAATTACTTTCATCTTTCTGGCTTTTTGACTGTTGTACCGTCAGAGAATAGTTCTTTAATATCCAAGAGTCTTTAAAAAGGATTATATATAAGTGTAGCCTAAGAGATTAAGTTGATTTCACTGTATTTTAAAACGCGGTACGTAAAACTGGCAGACAGTTGAATAATGTTTAAGTACTAGCTACACGTAAAAATGCGTGACAGTAGTAGGATTAGATGACTTCAGGTCTACTACCGAAGCACTCACTTCTTTATTAAAAATTACTGTCGAACGTACTAGTTGTATTGAACGAAGGTCGTAGACAGTTTAATGAATACACAAAAAAGTTTCTAACTACAGTCAGTCGATGTAAAATTCTACTACAGGCGCCAAACATTTATTCTGTGCAAAAAAGGAAGTGTTGAAGGCTTGCTAACAGTATTCAGTGTCAATCACAGATGACTTTTATGTATAAGTAAAGATCAGAATGGAATGTCTTTCTTGAGAAGTATAATAGATAGTGTAACGTTAGGTTAGTATAAAAACATACATGAAGCAGCATACTTACTCATTAAGCATTCTAAAATATGTGAAACGTAGTCAGTCATCTGGAAAAATGTATAAATGATATTCTAAAGTGAAATCTAAAAATTTCAAATATTTCCCGACAGAAATCGGGTTTTTTGACAAGTTAAGCAAAAAACCTATTGTATGTAGGCCATTGAAATAATGAGTACTTAGGTTCACCAAGAAGCCGTCATTCATGGCGTTAGAAGGCAGGAAATATTGTTTCTTGAGAACCAAGTTTGAGCCTTCATCTGTCTAAATTTGAATACCATTTTAGCCTGTTTATTCGAATAGTCACATAGTGAAGGAACGGTATTTTTGACTAGATAACGCGTTTCAGACGTAACTTAATATCCATGTTCATATCAAGTAACTACAACTTTGAGACAGAGTTTATATAGTCCTAGTTTTCTCTCCTTTTTTGTGATGACAAGCATTATAGAATATCCTATATATCTGGGACAGATGCAGAATCGTTTCGATTGCACTTATTCAGTGTTGATTCGATCAACAAAGATTCCCTTCCCTTCCCTCTGCCCAACTAAGTTTTAAATACTACCGCTCTCTAACCCACCCTACTGTCTGATTGTGTTCAGTTGCGTGCATAGCTATAGCTGAACTTTTCTCGGAATTTATTATCTTATTGTGATCTACTAATCTTGATTTAGCTACGCCTTTGTGCTCAGATAGTCTAATTAACCCTAGTCGATTACTTTGATATATGTATTTGACCTCGGGATCATTGCATGGGATTTGGTAAACTAAATTATCCTGCCTAACTGGATCAATAGGATCTTTGGACCTATACAGCTTGTTTCTTGGCGAGTTTGTGGGTTTGAGTGCCATTCTAATCCCAGCCAGCCTTATCGAGGTTCCTACGTAGTGTCTATGAGTTACTTTCCTTGTATGGTAACACAGTCTCTGAATTCTCCCTTAACCCTATTACCGTTATTACCACCATTATTACTATTAGTGGTAGAAGTATTATTAATAGAACTTGTATTACTATTACTGCTACTGCTCATAATTTTCTTCCAATTTTTTATGAAATTAGGTGGGTAATTTTTGAGATGCAAGGTATTCTTGATGTGTTTAATTTCTTGTAGTAGATTTTCTGTCCTACCACTAAACTTTTTCCCTCTATCACTTAGGCATTTAACTAAGGCTTCTGTAACTGAGATACGGTAAGGTGATTTGAAGTCATAGTGGCGGTTTGAATGGTAAGGTTTCTTATAGATAACACTAGGTTTTAAAATTCCATCTTGTTTTCGTTCATTATAGCAACCCGTAGCTAAATACTATCACCAGCTCTCATATGGCATGACACGTTACTTATTGAATGGACCTGCATCTGGGTTTTGTTTTTTAAGCAACCTTTTAAAAGAAAGTTTGAAGACTTCATCAAACCCTCTGTTTAAGTTGGAATTTACAAGCAGCACGGTCGGTGTTGACGCCATTAGTTTCAAAGTTGGGATTATACTTGCGTTAAACACTCATTCTTCCTTTAGCCTATCATATATGTACTGTATGTTGACACTGGTTAAAGTTTGGATCATTTACTTGCCATTTTAAAACTATTTGCCTTCCCATTCATCTTTTCCCACTTATTTTAACGTTGTTTTTATTCCCAAACTGTATACTTACTACTACTGATAATAGTATAGTAGTGGCTTTATTCTGAAAGATATTTCAGGGATACTGTACAAAATGGCCTATAGCAACAGTTGAATAGAGACAATTTATGTAGAATAAAATGAAATAAGTAGAAATTATCCATAGAAAAAAGATAAGAATATTTACTTCATCTATAATTTTCTTGAAAAATGAAGAGTTAAGTTAGATGTAGACAGTCACATCAGCAACAATTAGATTCATAACGCTTAAATACAGCAAGCTGTGGATTCTTTAATTGGTTTGCTTTAATAAACACAAAAGTTTATTAGTGTTTGTTCATCCCACAGGAGATGAGATAAGTAAGGAATGTATAGTGGAGTTATTATTATTTTGTAGTAGTATAAGCATAAAGTTTTATATACATGCTCCTCGTCTTATCTGACAATCAACACACAGAGGGCTTTGAGTGAAGAGGATACTGGTCATTTGGTAAAATAACTCTCACTGACTGTTTACATGAGTTAAGATGTGTATTGACAACAGTTTTAATTAGTAGATTGGTTCAAAAAACTTTACTTTTAAATGCTTAAATACTAATAATTACATTCAATTGTAATGCACATAACATCAGGATTTCACATCTAAAGGTTAAACGTGATAGGACACGTTCACAAATGTATATATATGTATTCAACTTCAGTGAATACTACCTACATACTTGCTTTCTTGAATGTAAATGTATCTAATTCTATCGTGTATAGAAACCTAACGTTTAGTAGTTGCTCAGTGACCCCTACTGCATGAAATGACCATTTAGTTTATTTACATCTGACAGCTTTAATTACAGAAACTTATGAGTTGTAAAGATGAGCTGTGGCTCATTGAAGGTCGATTTTCAACTATCAAGTCATGAATTTTTAATTTCACCGCATCTCTTGAGATCTCTGAACACCTAGGTGGTATTATCAATCGTCAAACAATAGGCATGAATCACTGCCTACTGGATGAAAGTTTAGATTATGATGATGAAGTTAAAATAAAAAGGTGTATGTCTAGGAAAATTAAACAAGTAACAGGTTTTTTACGGGATTTCCATGTTCTACTATCTATTTGTTACTTTGGTTCTACAATTATGAAAATCAAAGTGTAACCTCGCACATGAATGCATCATTGTTGGTATGAGATTTGATTGTTCTAATACCGTGTAATGAAAGCCCATACCACTGACACCAAAAGATTGTAGTCTGAAAAGAGTGTGCTGTCTTTCAAAGTCGGCTTTTTCTACCCTTTACTTCCCACCAGGAAGGCAGCATCAGGATGGTCCTGCTGCTGGTCACCTAAGGAAACACCTTACTGCTGTCACTCCCTCAACCAACCAGCTGTAAGAATTCGTTTCTGGGCCACATCATAGTGTAGAAATTTATGCTAAAACGGTAGCCGCTTATGGTCATATCACTAACATGGTGGGACCTCAAGGGAACAAGCGTTCTAACCAGTGTGGTTTGTTGGAACAGTGTAATATACAAGGCCAACCACCACGTCTAGGTAGAAGCTATCGGTCTGGTTTAATTTACAGTGTGGGATAGGAGAAATCCACTGATAGATTTAATGCAGCTGTTAGTTTTCGCTTGCTTTAGGATTTCTATGATAGCGACTTAATTTGAGTAGCACAAAATTCCATCCATTTCTGGCCCCAGTAATGTCTCTCTCTCTCTCATTACATGTGTGGACAGTTTTGAAGTATCTGAAAACGGTTTAGTTGCTAGTCAGTGTGCTTACGTCTTCGCATTAGAACAGAGTAATCATGTTGAGAAACTGACTTTGCTGTTCTGGACATGTGTTGTGTATTTCTTCTTACTACCCAGCACTCCACTTACTGTTCTCTTACACTGGGTTTGGTTGAAAAAAGCGGATAGGTAAACATTGTATTATGTTAATGATGGATCGTGGCTAGGAGTGATATCCAGGAGGCGCATTCTGTCCTATTTGGGACTCGTCAGCTGGATGTACCTGCTTCCCAGTGCGGAGTGGTTGTTCCCAGCGGGATTCGGACTCGGGAGCGGTCGCTTCAAATGCCGGCGCGTTACCTACTACACCACTGAGTCCCAAATAGGAGGAAATGTGCATCCTAGATTGCACTGCTAGCCACGATCCATCATTAATATAATTAGAACACAGGCAATATCGAGGCATCCGCACAGGATCCCATATGCCAATCGAGACCGATCAATTCGGTTCAATCAACGACGGTATCATATAAAAACAATTACACTAAAAACCATACCCGTCGCACAAGAGGTGGCTATCATGGCTCGGTGGTGTAGTGTATAACGCGCCGGCGTTTGAAGCGATCGCTCCCGAGCCCGAATCCCGGTGAGAACAACCACTCCGCACTGGGAAGCAGGTACATCCAGCTGACGAGTCCCAAATAGGACAGAATGCGCATCCTGGATCCTACTGCTAGCCACCATCCTTCATTAATATAATTAGAACACAGGCAATATCGAGGCATCCGCACAGGATCCCATATGCCAATCGAGACCGATCAATTCGGTTCAATCAACGACGGTATCATATAAAAACAATTATACTAAACAGTGTATTAGCTGCCACCGTGGAATGAATGATAATCATATTGGGTTAGTATTTGTAAGTACTGTGTGACTCCTTGAATGGGGGACCAAGAGATTATGCAACTTATTAGGTTTAGACGGTAACGTATATGAGTGAGAATTGAAACCAGTAATGATCATGTCACAACTTTCTTGTTTCTTTTATTACGGAAAAGTAAAGCGACAATTCCTCAATTCATTATTTTGTATAGCACATCTTCTGATGCGTACGTTGTAACAAATTCGCTTCCTGAGTAGTCTTAAAGTACATTAAAAAAAACCATTAAGGAATTGTATTTAGCCTATCCTATCTAACCTACATATCAAAAAAGCCAAACCTAGTGACCGTGAGAACATATACTCAACGATATTGGGTGATGGTTGCGCTGTATCGTGAACTAACAGAAGCTGGAAATATAAACCATTAGATTCTGATCCATCGGTTCATCAGTAATGTGCTGGCCACCGAACCTGAAGGTCTTGGGTTCGACCCTTAGGTGCGCACTGCTGAGGAGTCCCATGCTAGGACGAAACAGCTGTCCAGTAGTCCCAGGTTTCCAATGCTCTTCCAACTGATGTCGGTCTATGATGAATACCAACTTGAAAAATTACTAAATCCCCAAGAAACCCCATATTAAAAAAGATGCTGTCAGTAGTCTTGTGCACATTCATGTGGTAGGCAGTATGCGCAGATTAATACTACTACTATTACCTGATTGCTTGAACCTTAGTAGGTGGGGCTGGGCTCGGACCCGTTACCCTCTCGGTAGAAAGTCAACTACCTAAAACAATGAGCTACACATAAAAATGTGGGTATATGTATCCCTCCTGCTAAATAAGCGGTTTAGACAGTCGGATGAAAATTCATGGATTGTCTTGTTACGTAACTATTTCATATGTGTTCAATAATTGTAAGATGAGAAACAGGAAAAGCATAGTTAAGATACCTGAATTTTCCCCCTCTTCATCATTACAACCAGTGAGCTTTACATCAGTGACAAGCTGGTGATATACAAGTATCATTAAACAACAAGTGATAACCGTTGCACTAGAGGCTTCTCTAGTTCGCCAGTGGCCTAGTGGATAACACTAGCGTTTGAAGTGATAAGCACTAGGTTTGAGTCCCTGTGGGGAAAACGTCATTCACTGAGGTGGAGCTACAACCAACTGATGAATCCTAGAAAGGGCGAAAAGCACATCCTCGACTCTACTGCTAGCCGCCAAATAGACTGCAATACAAAGTATAATTCCATATTAGATTTGTTTATTTGATATATAGCTCACTGTAATACAGTATTATTTACTTGATAACAACGTTTCGAGCATAAGCTATTATCGCCTATAATCATATCGATGTAATCATATCCTTTTCAAGACATCTGATATCTGTAGTCCTTTCATCCTTCACTCTTTGTTTGTGTTGGTAGTAAAATTTCCTTTATCTCTGATATAGGTGTTGCGTCACTTCTATTAGAAAAAAGGGGTTGGGTGTTGATTCGATGAATAAAGATTCAGTAATCAGTCTCTCTCTCTCTGCCTTATCATTATTGGACTTAAGCAGTATAGTGGTTTTATCTCAACCTATTGTGTGGTGGTGTATGTTAATGCATATATTACGATAGCTGAGTGTCTTTCTAGATGATTGTTCTTATTCAGGTTTGTCATTCTATATTTGACTAAATTCCTATATTCCGCTAATCTAACTGACCCCGACTGAGTAGTTTGACCTATCTGCTTGACCTCACAGTCATTGCATGGAATTTGATAGAATAGATTATTTCGCTTAATTCGATCTATCAGATCCTTAAGCCGGTCAGCAAAGCTTATCTCTGAGTGAGTTTATAGGTTCAATTAACTGTCACTCTAATTCCGGCTTTGTTAAGGATTCTACGTAAAGTTTCTGATGTTCGTTCCTTATAGGGTATAACATAGTGGAGGCTGTGAGCTGCTTTCTACTCGTGTTGTCGTTATTATTCATACTCGTTTTATTATTTCTTTTCTTGTGTGTCCGTACGAGTTTCTTAGTAAACTGTAGAGGATAATTATTAACTATTAGTGCTTCTTTTATGTTCTTCAGTTCCTTGTTTAGGTCATTGAACTGACTAGTCAGTTTTCAAGCTACATACATCATTTAGACATTTGACTAAACTTGCCTTAACTGACTGGAATCGGATAAGATGACTTGAAGTCTAGATACTTGGTAGAATGTGTCGGTTTCCTGTAGACTGTTGTCTCCAAACCATACATCTTCGCTTTGGTCAGCTATTGTTGTTTGAATCCAGTGCAGAAAGATGGCGGCTTAAAATTAAGGTGCTAAAATTGCCAGTTTTGCTGGTTTGAGTACGGAAGTCGTTTTCGATATCTGTAGACTGGTAATTTGATACGTTGGCAAAAGTAAGATGCTGTGGGCCATGGAACTCTGAAGCTCCTTTTCATTGCAGTTTTTATTCTTCTACCTATATTCTTTCAAATGTCTCATCACTCTTGGATGTTAGATAAAAGAAAACAGGTTCCCTCTCAACAATTTAGGTGTTTTGGCTGTTTACAGGCGATGAATGGCGGTGAAATAAAATGAGCCTATTTTATTCTGCTAGCGGCCTGGATCATGCAACAAACTGTGAAGGGGAAAAAGAGGCATACGCTGTCTGACCTATGAAAAGACCCTGGAAGATTTCGATTTCGTCTATGATGGTTTATATCTCATGTCTTGTCGCACAAACTCGAAGATCTACAGGCGAAAACCAACAAGTTGGCAGAAGAGACATGGTAGCGAAGATGCAACTTCCTTCAGGTAAACGTAGAGAAGACAGAGATGATGAAGAGATACCCAACTAACAACAACTACAACAACTGCAACAACAAGCACAAATCACCATCAAGGGGAGAAATCTAAAGGAAGTTGTCTCTTCCACCTACCGAGACAGCATCGTTTCAACTACAGGCACAGATGAGGGCGTCAGTATGAGAAAGACAGCAAGACAGGCCACCCTTCATTAATCTGAAACCAGTGTGAAGATCTACTGCACTGCGCTCAGCATGTGGAACAAGATCCGGATGTTCAACATTAATTCAGTCAAGTCACTGCTTTGATGTAATGGATGAGAGAGTTGGTGAGTTGCGTAGGGCATTTCCAGCAAACTGCAGGCATACATCATCAACAGCTGCCGCCTACTGTCTGTCGATACTTGAAGATAAGATCGGATGGCCAGAAAGAATACGCAACAAGGAACTCTGGCTTACTGGCAACGTACCAACCAAGGAGCTATGGCCCAAGAAATATGGAGAAGAAGAAAATGTAGATGGATTGGACTGGACATACACTGAGAAGACCATTTAGGGACATCACGTGCCAGGCCAAGCCGTCGGGTGGAACCCAAATGGGAAACGACGAGTTGGGCGTCCGAGGGTGACATGGAGGGAGATAGTGTGAGGAAATATGAAAGCTTGTGGGCAGTCATGGAGTCAGGTTGAAAAGACTGGAGAGAACAGAGTGAAATGAAGGCGTTCTACTGAAGCTTTATGTTCCATTAGGAACCCAAGGGACAAATAATAAAATAATAATCATAATAAATTTTGTTCTGCAAATGCCTTTGGCTTTACTGTTGTTTTTAGAATTTCTTCGAGGCAAAGAAGTGTATTTATTTGCTTAAATGGCTTAAAAGGCGGGGGAAAATAAAGTTTGCTTGCAAAGTTTCTCGCCTAATTTTCTACAATTTTCATTTTTGTTTCAATTATTGTTCTTGACAGGATGATATTGGTCTAGGAGCGGTTGTTGGCTCTGCTGATTTCAATATTATGCTGGTTATCAGTGTCAGTGCATTGTTTGCAAAGCAGGTAAATTAATTATGGTTTTTAAAATCTTTAAATAGTAGTCGAACCTCGTAGCTCAGTTGGTAGAGCATTGAGCCGGTAACCTGATGATGGCTGGTTAGAATTTGGCCGTGGTTCAAGTTTTCATTTCACCTTATTGTTGTTTATATGAACGATAGATGTTTATCCTCCACTAGGTTTTGGTGCACACACTTACTGCCTCCCGACAGTGGGTTTATTTCTCAACATGAAAGTATCATTCAACTCTGTTGAATGACTGTATCTCTCCACTGAAACGGGTGCCGTGTATGTTGACCAGCTGTTTACTTGAACACCCATAGAGGTGATAGAGCCTACTGTGAGTTGTGTACGTCCAGTGGTGTCCATCAAGCGTGTTCACTTTCCCCATTCTTATTCAACTTTATCATAAACATAATTATGGAGGTGTGATTCTCCTCGTTTCAACTTAAAAGAATTGATCTTATCACAGGAGAAATCCTTGGTAAATATTAAGTACGCAGATGATGTACTCCTCCCGTTAAGTGAAGATGCTGACACATTGAGTAGCGATTCGAGCATGTTTGTGATTCGTTTTTTGTTGTCACATGTGTGGAAATGGTTGTTCTACCGTTGGTCTTCAATAGTGTCCTGCCTAACAGATAAGGGTTAGTAGGTCAGTCATCGACAAAATCTCTGCACAGATACAAAAAGCTTGACTAACTCTTGTCAACTTACGCCATCCATGGCACTGCCATGGTGGTCGATTGCCTGGTAAGAGTCGAGTGTCCTGTACTGTAGTTCAATTCCTTCTACTGTGTGGCTATGAACCATGACCATTAAGGATGTCAACAACTTCTTCTGAACGTATCCCTGAAATCGCTTAATACACTGTGGAGAAAATGCAACTCAAATGTAGACTGACAAAAAGACTGCGACGATAGGTAGCAGCAGAGAATTATTTAAACTTATTCAGGAAACTGGGGCGAAAAGATCAACGGTTAATGAGACTGTAGTGGAGAAGGATGGGTGTGTGATTCACTCGCAAAGATGTTTGGAACGATGGGCAGAACATTCCTAGGAACAGTTCACCTGACTTTCAGCTACTATTATGTTGCACATTATCCAGTCGAATCCTGAATGAAATATTGAGATACGCCCCCCAACGCTTGCAGAAGTCGAGAAAGTGGTAGATAACTTGGAACGAGGAAGGTCAGCGGGTCCAGACGAACTAGTTCCTGAAGTATCTAAGGACGTTGGTAGTATCATTTTAGTCAAGTTAACTGAATTATTAACTAGTATAGTGTATGGGAGTCAAATATTAGTCGCTTCTGACCAATCTGAATCACTGATTATCCTAGTCTTCAAGAAAGGCGAAGAATCCTCTTGTGCTAACCACAAAGGAGTCAGCCTGACGAATATGATGTCTGAGGATTTAGGTTCTATAATGGTTAGACACGTGAGTGGAACTCGGGTATAGCAAGCAGCGAGAAAACTAGGCAGACTTCAGACTTAACCGTGGGTTTATCGACTGGAAAAAAGTAGACTAAATGTTGACATTTGTTACCAGTATCAGTTAGTTGGGACTAGATACATCTTGAAATCGTCTTCTTCATATCTGATCTTCTTTCGTGTGTTGTGAAAGCGTTCTCATGAGCTTATGTAATTCACTTGAGGAAGTTCCAAAAATCAGTACATCATTCAGATATGCTGTGACTTTCGATATTCCCTGCAAAGATGATATTGATAATCTGTTGGAAAATCATCGGGATGACGTTTTGTCTAGTACACTGAAAACAATCTACAATAGGTGTTTATAATTAATAATTTTCGACTTTCCTAAAAGATTTCCACATTTAAGTAAGCGTCCATCAGATCACGTTTTGCTAAACAAGTTCCACTGTTTATTACCATATTATTACATATTATTATTTTTCCCTTGGGTTCCTAGTGGAACATAGGGCTTCAGTAGCACGCCTCCATTCCACTCTCTTTTCTCCAGTCTTTTGAACCTGGCGCCACGAGTGCCCAGAAGCTTTCATTTCTTCCTCATATCATCTTCATATCACCCTTGCCTCGGATGCTCAACTCGTTGTTTCCCTGACCTGGTGCGTGATGTCCCTGAACGGTCTATTCAATGTATGTGCAATCCAATCCATGTCCACTTTCTTCTTCTGCATATTTGTTGAGTGATAGGTTCTTGCTTCGTTGGTTCTCTGCTAGCCAGAGTTCCTTGTCGCTTATTCTTATTATTCTGGCCATCTGAGCTTCAGTATCGAGTAAGCGTAGGCAGCGGCTGTTGATGAATATGTCTGTAGTTTGTTGGAAGTGGTTTTCGTGACGCGCCAAGTTTCTTAATCGTCACATAGAAGCACTAACTTGAATGAATTGGTGTTGAAAATCCGGATCTTGTTCTTTGTGCTGGGTGCAGTAGATCCCCACACTGATTTGAGATTATTGAAAGCCTGTCTTGCTGTGTTTCCGATTTAGGTTTTGACATCCTCATCTGTGCCTGTACCGCTTGTAGTTGAAACGATGCTGCCAATGTGGGTAGGTGAAAGAGACAACTTCGTTTAGGTTTCTCTCGTTGATGTTGATTGGTGCTGGTTGTTGATGCTGTTGTTGGTTGGGTATCTTCATCACCTCCATCTCCCTTACATTCACTTGAAGTCCCGTTTTCGCTGCCCTGCCTCTTCTGTCAACTTGTTATTTTTCGCTTGTACATCTTCGAGTTTGTGCGACATTAACGATAAATCATCGGCGAAATCCAAATCTTCTAGGGTGTTTTCATCGGTCCAGCGTATGCCTGTCTTCTCGCTCCTCACAGTTTGTTGCAAGATCCAGTGCAGTACAATCGGGAAGATCATGGATGTTAGTAGGCGGCAGCCTTGTCTTACTCTTGTCTTCACTTCATTTCCAAGGCATCACTGAGCTTTTCATTGTGAATCACTTGACATGTGGCGTCTTCATATAGCTGTTGAATGAGATTGACGCAACTGCCTTCCATTGTTTAGAATAATGCAAATGTTATTAGGCGCTAGTAGTGGATAGTGATGCTGTTCTAAGGTTTCATTTAGTCCCATTGAGAAATCGAAATGATCTTCCCATAAGAAAATGAGATACACCTATTAACACACCATGCTGTTCAAAACGGGAAAGTTCAGCTTCTACTTGTAATAAGGAAATAGATGGCATCTGTTGCCAATCATGAAATGGCTTAACGACGCTTAGCACCACATCTATGATATCATAGCTTTTAAGACTACGAAGAAGATTAGGATTGCTTATCTGTTAATTAATATTCACCATCAACAGTTTTGTAAGATGAAAATATTCATCTCTATACTGTTATTATATATGAGTGTTTGAACCACAATATCAAATAAGCATATTCATTTAGATTCCTTAGTAAAATCATGTTAGAATATTGGCTTAGTTTGAACTAGATCTCTAGTTTTGAAAGTAGCAAGTTTATCTTTCAAACATCATCTTAATCAGTGAAATCATATTTAAAATATCCTTCATACAGTCTGAACAAAGTTGAAGATACCTATCCAGGGACATAACCCTTACGTGTTTATATATAATGTGTTCGGTGTATTCTTTGTTTTTTTTCTCTTCGTCTATGTATGTTAGCTTGATGTGAATTTGTAGTGTAGTAATGATAAAATAACAACAGTTAACCGAATAGATATCACACTGATAAACATAATGTTGGAGTCTGTGTTAAACTTCTCATCTGTACTAAGGAATACCTTAGATAGATTAATGATGGATCATGGCTAGCAGTGGAATCTAGGATGCGCAGTCGTCAGCTGGATGTACACATATGAGATGAAATGTTGGGGGGTAACTTGAACCGTTAAGCAGTAATCCCTGCTCTTATATTAATCTTGATGATAATGATGATGAGCATTTTCAGCAAACTTCTCAATTATTTAGTATTCCCATTACATCATAGTTGTTTGTCTCTTATCTGAAATTCACCAGATTATCATAAATGTTTATCGATAGAAAGCCTGCTGTGAGGTTAGCTATCTAAGGAATTAGTATAATTGTTTTTATATGATACCGTCGTTGATTGAACCGAATTGATCGGTCTCGATTGGCATATGGGATCCTGTGCGGATGCCTCGATATTGCCTGTGTTTTAATTATATTAATGATGGATCGTGGCTAGCAGTGGGATCCAGGATGCGCATTCTGTCCTATTTGGGACTCGTCAGCTGGATGTACCTGCTTCCCAATGCGGAGTGGTTGTTCCCAGCGGGATTCGAACTCGGGGCCGATCGCTTCAATCAACGATGGTATAACACATGCAGTTATACTGAAAGCTCTACTTGTCGCGCAAGAAGTGGTTATTGTGGTTCGATGGTCTAGTGGATAACACTCTGGCGTTTGAAGTAGTCGCTCCCAAGTTCGAATCCCGCTGGGAACAACATCACTTACTGGAAAGCAGGTACACATTCAGCTGACGAGTCCCAAATAGGAGGAAATGTGCATCCTGAATCCCACTGCTAGCCACCACCCATCATTAATATAATTAGAACGCAGGCAATATCGAGGCATCCTCACAGGAGCCCCATATATCAATAGAAACTGATTAATTCGGTTCAATCAACAACGGCATGATATAAAAACAATTATACTATTATTATTGTTGACTATGGATTTCAATATTTCAGTTCTCATTGCTGGTGTATATATGTGTGTTTTACAGAGATATCTATGCTTCTTTGTTCATCTCACAGGTGATTTATCTTAATTGGTGGCCATTAGTGCGTGATTCAGCTGTTTACTTGTTATCCATTATCCTCTTAGCATTGGTAATCTATGATGAATTGATTTATTGGTAAGTTTGTTGTGCGTCTATGTGTGTGTATATGTGTGCATCGTTTGCTGATAATGTGATTTACTTTATTTCGAGGTTGATGGGGGATTGTTTTTCAATTATTTTTTTAAAGTAGCATTCATCATAGATTGACATTAATTGGAGAGAAACATTAGAAAACCTTAAGAGTCTCATCGAAAGTGACTTACATTTGAATTTATTTACCATGATGTCTGTATATGGGATAAATATGTTGGTGACATTGCTCACATGTAGTGGAATCAACAGGATAATATGCAGACAAGGCGAGTCGGTTGATGAAGTTGTCAACCTTCATCGAGTGAGATGGCTTGGAATATGTGTTGGGAATACTGAGCTGCTATCTGTCTTTACATGCAATGTTATTATTATTATTTGTCGCTTGAGTTCCTAGTGGGACATAGAGCTTCACTGGCACGTCACCATTTTACTCTCTTCTCTATAGTCTTTCCAACCTCGCTACACGACTCTCCACAAGCTTTCATTTCTTCCTCACATGATCTCCTCTATGTCACCCTTGCCTAGGATGCTCAACTTGTTGTTTCCCATCTGGGTTCCACTCCAGGGTCTGGCGCGTGATGTACCCAAGAGGTCGCCTCAGTGTATGCCCAATCCATCTCCACTTCCTTCTTCTGCACCTTTGTTGGGCGATAGGTTCTTGCTTCGTTGGTTCGTTGCCAGACCAGAGTTCCTTGTCTTTTATTCTTTCTGGCCATCTGATCTTCACTGCTGAGTAAGCGTAAGCAGAAGCTGTTGACGTGTGTCTGCAGTTTGTTGGAAATGCTTTTCGTGACGTGTGAAGTCTCTCATCCATCACGTAGAAGCACTGACTTGACTGGATTAGTGTTTAAAATCCGGATGCTGTTGTTTGTGCTGAATGTAGTAGATCTCTACAATGATTTCAGGTTAAAGAAGGCTTGTCTTGCTGTCTTTCTGATCCTGGCTTTGACGTCCTCACCTATGCCTGTGCTGCGCGTAGTTGAAACGATGTGAAAGAGACAATTTCGTTTAGGTTTCCCCCGTCGACGGTGATTGGTGGTTGTTGTTGGTTGGGTATCTTCATCATCTCTGTCTTCTCTACGTTCACCTGAGCGAAGTTACATCTTCGCTGCCGTGTATCTTCTGTCAACTTGTTAGTTTTCACCTGTAGATCTCCGAGTTTGTGGGACTTTAGACATAAATTATGATGGGCGAAATCAAAATCTTCTAGGGTCTTTTCATCGGTCCAGCCAGCGTATGCCCATCTTCTCGCTGCTTCTCACAGTTTGTTGCATGATTCAGTCCAGTCGGCCACAATCAGATCATCATGATAGTAGGTGGCAACTTTTTCTTACTCTGTCTTCACTTCAAAGGTATCGCTGAGCTTTCCATTGTGAATCACTTGGTATGTGGCGTCGTTATATAGCTGTTGAATGAGGTTGATAAAGGTTTGTGGCGCTGCGTAGTGTTGAAGCAGTACAATGTTAACCGATGTTGGAATAGGTTGGCAAAAGGTGGAGGATGACCATACCAAGACTTGGTATCAGTATCTCAAATTCACTGAGTGTTGGTCGTAGTTGTGTATAGAGTTTGTACACTGTTTAACTGGCTTGCTCGAGATGTTAGCATCAGTAGTTGGAGTTGCTTGGTAATATAGCTTCGATGTTTCTTCACTCACGTTCATTTTTCCGTGTAGCATGGTAACTTTATTCACTCCTTTTTTGTACGTCTAATTCTGATTTACATTGGTTAACCACTGGAAGGAAAACAACCGATTTCATGTTGCCCTATCCTCTACTTTTGACCTTATTCTTTAAATCATTTTCCAGTATGACCATTAAGCTAGAATAGAAGGCGAAACACATCATGGTGCACTTTGTGATGGTTATGAGTTAGTTGAGTGTAATCGATAAAACTAGAGAATCACGACAATTTCAGCTTCAGAGAGGAATTCAGTTTCTTCAAGGTTATAGATACGACTTACTGACAAGTACCAACAACCGGGAAATTTAAATTAGAGTAGAGCTTCGTGCTGATTACCTCCAACCAACTAACATATGTATGTAGTCTTCTCTGTACTGTAAGATGATATCTTGCCTTATATCGGTATAGAAAGTAATCTACTAACATATTGTACACTGTATATCATGGCCATAGAAGTTATGAAAAAAGTTTCAGGTGTTTAACCAGTGTTGCTTTCGTAGCCATAAGCTGTGTGTTTTGATGTCATCATACGAATGAGGCAGAAGTGAGAGGTAAGGTTGATACGGTTGTGAACCTTCATTGACTTAGGTAGCTGGTCGGTAGATGTGTTACGACGTATGCCTAAAAACCGTCTGCTTCATTATTCAGGCTGGTAAATGGCTCAGTTTGGCTAGACTAACACAGTATCAATGGATGAAGTCGTTAAGTATTCATCTGAGTCATGTAGGGCGATGCAGACTAGGTGGTGGTTGGTGTCTACAGGAGAAGAGAAAACAATAATGATAATATGACTCAGAATCGATGTCAGTGTTGCAGATGTAAACATACATTATCCTCATGTTAACTGCTATACTTAAACACATCATTTTCTCATTCCTCCTTCCTCTTTTTTTCTCTCTACTGTTGCCTACTTCTGCCATCCTTCTTAAAGGGTGGTGAGATTATTTGGGACTCGTCAGCTGGATGTACCTGCCTCTCAGTGAGTGATGTTGTTCCCACCGGGACTTGGACTCAGGAGTGATCTCTTCAAACGTGAGAGCGTTATCCACTACACCACCGAACCACGATAGCCACCTCTTGTGCGACGGGTATAGTTTAGTGTTATTGCTTGTATTACACCGTCGTTGATTGAACCGAATTGATCAGTCTCTGTTGGCATATGGGCTTCTGTGTAGATGCCTCGATAGTATAGTAATGATAGGCAGTGGTTAGCAGTGGAATCTAGGATGCGCTTCAACTGATCATATGTTTGAATCTTGATTCATTTATCAGAGTTTCAGCAGGCAGAGGTAGGTAGGTAGCTCTCATACATTTCATTTCAATCTTTAAGAGAGAGAGAGAGAGGAATTTCAGTATTTTTTTTTAATTTTCCAACTATTTTTTTTCACTAATCTATTACTTTTCTTTACTTTTCTCTGAAAATCATTGAAAGGTATGAATCTGCAATACTTATCTTTGTCTATGGTTTATATGTTCTATTAATGTATTATAATCCACGTATTGATACATTTTGGCGTATATGGTGTCGTGAACATCCAACATTTTGTCCACGTGCTATGCATACTGATCAAGAGGAACATGATATAATACAACAACATACTGGTGCATTTGGACATTCAATTATTGAAGATAAATCTTTATTACCTTCAAGAGTTATAATTGATGATCAACAAGAGATAATTGTTAAAAGTATTGGTACAAGTTATAAACGATTTGAAAGTGAAGAAGATCCTTATATTCTAGAGAAGACAGGTTAGTTAATTGATCTGTTTATACTGAATTTTTCTTTTATGCTTATCTATATTATCTCAGCTCAGATACAAACATTTCATCACCTTGTCTCATGTGTACCACCGACTTGCAAGATATCCGATGAGTATCCTGCCCTGCAGTCTGTTTCCTATTGTTATGCAGTTGTTAGACATAATCATTAAAAGTGGTTATAGGTCTTTGATCATAGGTATGGAATCAATGTATGAGAGTAATGATGAGGTTAGGTGAAGAGTACTAGACATGTTGATAATTGAAGTTGTGAACGTTAATCGATTGATCTGTCTTGGAGAGATGTATTGGGTATACCGAACCATTGCCTCCGATTTCGATGTACCATGTTAGGAGAAGTTAGATTAGGTTGAAAAAGAGTTAAGCGTAACTAGACTAAGATGTGGCAACAGAACATGAAATCACCTGATTGGCGATACACTTGTGTGCAATGGTTTTACGTTGATTCTGTCAATCAGGATGGCTTTGTACCTTCTTTTGCCTATTATCTTATGGTGGAACCATAAGAGTATTCAGTAAAATGGTAGGATTCTAGGCGATGCTGGGTTTTGTGTAGTTAGGAACCGGTATTGAAATCCACCTTATCCACATCTGTATATGGGGTTCGACTCCGTGAACACTACACTTGGATGATGACATTGTTGATTGACTTAACTAATCTGCCAAAAATGATTTGATATGATGTGATTGTGTGTGATATATACTTGTAAGAATGAAACTATTGACTAGTGGTTGCACTCCTATCTATAAAACTCCAATTAATTCGATAAATAAAAAAAACTTGGAGTCATTGATATTTCTAGTCAAAGCTGCTTAGGCTAACAATAAAAATACCAAAAATCTTGATGTTCATGACAGATAGTGGCTAGTACCAGGATCTAGTACTCACGTTTCATCCTATTCTGAACTTGTCAGCTGGATGTACCTACCTCCCCCAGTGAGTAAAGTTGTTCTCATGCGGACTCGAACTTGCGACCCATCGTTCCAAACATTGTAGTGTTATCCAGTAGGCCAGCAAGTCATGATGACCACTTCTTGTGCAATAATTATAGTTTATATGATCTTGTTTACATTATCCGATCACTTATTGAACATAATTAACTGATCTCTGTTGGTATATTGACTCCTTTACGAATGCCTTGATGCTGCCTGTGTTTTCAGTTCTAATATTTATGATGAATAGCAGGCTAACAATGGGGTCCAGGATGCACGTTTCATTGGCACTTGTTAGGTGGATGTACCTACCTCCGACGACAAAGTTTTTCAATTGTCTGAATGAATTTTTAGGGAGTTGTAAAGATTTAGAAATATTTCAAGCTGTTATTCATCGTAGACTGACATGAGTTGGAGGTACAAAGGAAATGTGGGAGCACTGGATAGCTAGTATGGGACTCATTCGGTGTCGTTTCTTATACCATAACTGAATTGAGCCTTGTAGTTATTTTTACACTTTTTGTTGTGACCTTGAAAACCATTTTATAATTTCATCAATACTTTTATGATTATTATATTGTATTAAATGTAGCTTATATAACTGAGAATATTGATGTCCATGATATAACCGATCAACATCATGAACATTGTGATGATGGTATACAAACAAAAATATGTTCAGGTGATTCAATTGAATCTTGGTTTGATACTTGTTTTGCACCACTTAAATTACCTAGCCATGAAGGTGTACGCGGTAAAATTCGTTATGCATTCTATATCTTTATATGGCCATTACGTTGTGCTTTATGCATAAGTATACCAGATGTACGTAAAACAAGATGGAAACAGATTCCAGCTTCACATTGGTTATCCTTCTTTATGTCATGTTTATGGATTGGTATCTTCACTGTGGTTATGATGTGGATGATTACTGTTGTCGGTAAGCATTTGTAATTAATTAACGGTTGTCAACCAAAAGTATGCAATACTAATTGTATTATTATTAATATTATTATTTAAGACAAGCAATGAATGTATGAATGAGGCTGGATTTAACGAATTCATTGTCATTATCATCTTAGCTATCCAAGATAGCTACGAGGACTTCGTAACCCAGGTTGGAGACTTGGTGATCGTTAGTTCGGATCCGGTTACGACCCAAATTTTCTATTCACCTTTCAATCATCACCTAGTAATAATACTAGTCTACCAAATCATGTCTATCTCAGATAGTCAAAATGGCTTAGAGATGAGAACTGAATCAACTGAGCGTAAATCGCGTCATTAAGAAAACAGGATAGTTAATAATACCTGTTATTATTATTATTATTATTATTATTGTTATCATATTATTTGTCCCTTGGGATCCTAGTGGAACATAGGGCTGCGGTAGCACGTCTCCATTCCACTCTGTTCTCTGTAATCTTTTGAACCTGCCTCCACGACTGCCCACAAGCTTTCATATTTCCTCACACGATCTCCTCCATGTCACTCTCAGCTGGGACGCCCAACTCGTCGCTTCCCATCTGGGTTCCACTCAAGGGCCTGACGCATGATGTCCCTGAATGGTCTTCTCAATGCATGCCCAATCCATCTCCACTTCCTTCTGCATATTTGTTGGGTGATAGGTTGTTGGTTGGTTCGTTGCCAGTCAGCCAGAGTTCCTTGTTGCTTATTCTTTCTGGCCATCTGGTCTCATCTTCAGTAATGAGCCAGCGTAGGCAGTTGTTGATGAATGTCTGTAGTTTGTTGGAAATGGTTTTCATAACGCGCCAAGTCTCTCAATCATCACATAGAAGCACTGGCTGGATGTTTGTGTTGGAAATCTGGATCTTGTTCACGCCTCATGCTGAGTGCAGGGATAATAAGAAAACCAGGTGTATATTGAGATGATTAATGATGATAACAGTGGTAATAGGAATCAGGCTAACTAGGTGAAACAAATCAAGGAAGGAAAACAAAGCATGTCTATAATTTACTAGTTGCTTCGTTATTGATCTCTTCGAGGTCTTCTTCTCTCTGCATGCTTCAATCATTTAGGTAGACATATGCCTCTCTGTGCGACCAGTGTACTTGCTTCTGAAAGTACATTCGAGTTGATATATACATTTAGATACGTTGAAGATTGGAGCCCTGTCTTTCCTTGATTGTTACAATACCCTTTCTGATGATGCTGAGGAGAATGAGTTTAGCAGCGTAATAACTCCTTCTGAAAGATTTCTTCAGTTTTCATCTAACTACTCCTAGGAAATGGTCACCTTTGGATGGTAAGGTGTTATAAACTGGTTGCTTCTTCATTGGTGGAGACATTGTTCTACTTCCTACCCATTTTATGTGCTTGTTGATAAACAATTTCTGGGTACCTATTCTTCACTAACACGTTTTTCAAAGTTATCACTTTGTAGTCTAGTGTACTGTTGGAACAAATATTCCTGTCTCTATTGAACGGAGTTCAGACTACATTCATTTTTTATTGGATCAAGATAAAGTTCCTAAAATGAAGATAATATCCTGCCCATCAAGGTTTTCTATAGACATGGCATGAATTGAACCTCTTCAGTAATGCTTCTGCCTTCATTTCGCTACTACATATAATGAATATGTTGTCTATGTAACCCTGGTACACTTCCATCTGATCTATAAAGCACTTCAAGTAAATAGAAATAAATCAGGGAAAAGAGGACTTAGAAGGATTCCCGTCATGACTCTCTCAGTTTGGCGGAATAAATGTCTGTTTAGCTGAAACTGGATGTTCTTGGAGCATAGATTTAAAAACCTTCCTCAACTCATACTTTTTCACTATACGGATATATTATCATAAACTTCTTGACAATAAAACTCAAGGGTTTCATCAATTGAGACATTTTCGAGAAAAAACATATAATATGTAACGAAACAGGATTGCTTATCAGTGTTATTGGAGTCTCTGCTGTTTCGGACAAATTAAAGGGTGTCAGAAACATTTTGTTCTCCCAGACATTTGTGTAATGATTCGAGGACTCTGCATAACCACTGAGCTACTACCAAGTAACAGAGTCCCTTGATGGCATATCTTGGCTTTAAGATCTGTCATCGAATTCAACCAGGTTAAGTGTGTCAGGCACTTCCCTTACCTAGGAAGTAGGATCAGCCCTTAGTGGCTAGCTCAGTTGCCAATGAAACCTTTGCATGGATACAAAAGGCTCGATTGGCTTTTGCTAACTTACGCCATCTATGGCACCTGCGTGATATCCAATCGTCTATTAAGAGTAGCGTATACTGTACAACAGTTCGGTCTGTTTTACTCTATGGCTCTGAAACATGGCCTTTCAAAGTGGAAGACGTGAGAAGGCGGCTTCAAGTGTTTGACAACCGTTGCCTTCGTAGTGTATAGACCATATTCCATGGTGTCACCATGTGAGTAACGCAGATGTCAGGTATAGAGGTTTAGGGATTAGAGGTAAATCAGTTGACGAGGTAAGGAACCTTTATCGAGTGGGATGGATGGTTGGGACACGTATTTCGTATGCCTAGTCACCGATTGCCTCGTCACACAATGTTGGTCGAAGTAGTTCCAGGCTTAAAAATGGCCCGAGGTGGCCAGAGTAAAACATGGCACCAATGTATGAAGTCGCTGACTGTTGGTTTGAGCCATATGGGGTGATGCAGATTTAGTGGTTGGGGTTTTTGGAGCAAGAGGAACCAGTGGTTGAAGACTGACTGTAGGTGATATGTTTGAGAACTGGTGTCGGTGGTGCAGATGTATCCCCACACATTATCCTCATTTTAACGACGCTATACGGAGTCTCACCATTTTGTCATTCTTTCTTTCTTCTCGTACTTTATATTTCTTTTGACTGCATTCTCTTATCTTCACGTTTCACCTCACGCACTACCTTTCTACTTGATGTAGTGGTATGAGATGTGGCAACTTGGACCATTACGCAGTAATGGCTTGTCCTATGTTGATATTGATGATGATGACCTGGTCCAGGCATTTTTATATTAGACTACAAGCCATGTGGAGCTTTGACTCAGTGGTCTAAGGTCACCGGTTCGACTCCTATTCCACCTACTGAAGTTTGCTGCAGTCAGGTAGCCCTCATACACGATACGTGTGACTCGTTGCCTACTGCACAGATGTGAACAAGGTAGCTAAATAAGTTTTTTTCGTTCCTTCGTTTTATGAGTCATACTTATTTTGTGTGTATGAGGACATTCAGTTGCTGATGGTAGAGATAGTTGGAGCGGGAATTAAATCCACAAACTATTGTTTCAATGCTCAATATTTTAGTCAAGTATGCATGCGATATACTTTGCATCCATTTCTCTGGCGCCTGTTAAATGTAAGATGGTGTTCCAGGACATGTTTGTAGCTATTCTTAGTTTAATATGATAAGAAGTGAAGGGATACAGAAGAACTGTTTGACATTTGCTAAATCGCGTCACCAACTGGTATGATATCCGACTATCTATCAAGGTAGGAGTATACTCCGTTGTTGTCCATTGTGTCCGGTAATTGGACTGTGAGATATGGCCGTTAAAAGTAGGTGACATGAAGCGATTAAAGGTTTTTGATCTTAGGTATGTTCGTATTATTGTAGCTTATGATGGAATCACTTTGTGAACAATGCTGAGGTTAGGCGAAGGGTACCGCGTGAGATACTCAGGTCGGTTTACAAGAATGTGAACCTTCATCGATTAAGGTGGCTGCACATGCCGGCGTGCGATGCTATGCGAAGTTGGATTACATTGTAGAAGGGTTCAAGATGATTAGGTCAAGAAGTGACATCAATCCCTGACTATTGATCTGAGCAGTATGAGGAAGTGTAGACTGCTAAATTGTAGTCCTCGAAAGGAAATAAATCTGTGGTTGAACATCTGTCGCTCACAATGGCGCAGATGCATTCACTCCTTCAATATTTACACTATCTGTTATCTTCAGCATGTTTATTCCGTCACAAAACCCTACTAACTTTGATAACACTCGTGTCCTACCAACCTGTTCTTTGTTCACTTCTGTGAAGTGTGACAACTTGGGCCGATTCGCTTGTGTACAAGGATCTACGTTCATTGAAGGTTGAAGTTGATGATGGGGTCAAGAAAATGACACCAGTTCATTAATTTATGTTGACTATTGGTCTGCTGCGTTGAACTCCAACCCTGTAGGTGGATTGGTTAACACATTGGTCATGAAACTTGAAGATGGTGAATTCAATCCGTGGAGAGATGGAGTCATAGGTGTGTGTGTGTGTACAGCTGAGGAGTCACATACTGGGGCGAAACAAATGCTCTCCTATGTTCTTTCAAGTCTTCAGTAACTTCTCGAAGTGATTGCATTCCATGATGAATAGTAGATGTGAAATATTTTAAGGTATATAATTATGCTTTCTGTGTACAAATTTATTACCTCGCCTGGTTAACTAGTTTACTAGTTACTAGCCGGTCCTAAGCCCGGGTAAAGAGGGAAGGTTGGGCATAGGGCTAGCAACCCTACCCCGTAAAACAAATCTAACCGCTAAAGAAACTTCAAAGCACAAACAAAATATAAAAAATGAAAACAAACTTATTCCCCGCTGGAATCGGAGAGGCGAAATGACGCCGGTTGGTGAAAGCCTTCGGGAAGCCGATTGGCCGGGCCGATGTGTCTTCTCTCGATGAAGGCGAAAGTAAACGTGGGGACATGGAATGTCCGTACGATGTTTGAACCCAGTAAGGCAGCCCAGGTTGCAAAGGAGATGAGAAGGTATAACATCGAAGTGCTTGGGATTTGCGAAAGCAGATGGAATGGGAGTGGACTCTCCAAACTGTCAACTGGAGAGTCAATAATCTACTCCAGTCACCCAGACGACAACCACGAGCACATTGATTATTGGAGTGGCTATCATGATGTCACGGAGAGCATCGAAGGCTCTGATGCAGTGGGAACCAATCTCCTCCAGGATCATGACAGCAAGATTC